CTCCCATTCTGGACTAGGGGCTGTACTACTTCAGTATTATGAGGAGACTCCTTTCTCAGTATCTTTTGCCAGTAAGAAGCTCCTTCCTAGAGAAGAAAGATACTCCACTGTGGAGAAAGAATGTTACACATTAGTATGGGGTATAAGTAGATTCAAATACTACCTACACGGAAAACCCTTTGTGCTTGAAACAGATCACAAGCCACTGATGTACTTGGAGAACTTCAAAGGGTCAAATAGCAGACTCTTGAGATGAGCTCTGGCTATTCAGCCCTATAAGTTTAAAGTTGTACAGTGGACCCCCGCATACCGATTTTAATCCGTGCAAGAGGGGTCATTGTTATGCGAAATAATCGGTATGCGAATGAATTTTCCCCATAAGAAATAATGGAAATCAAATTAATCCGTGCAAGACACCCAAAAGTATGAAAAAAAATTTTTTTTTACCACATGAAATGTTAATTTTAATACACACAAACTGAAAAAGGCATGCACACTTACATGACACTTACTTTTATTGAAGATCTGGTGATGATTGATGGGATGGGAGGAGGGGAGAGAGAGTGTTAGTGTTTAGAAGGGGAATCCCCTTCCATTAAGACTTGAGGTGTCGAGTCCTTTTCTGGGGTTACTTCCCTTCTTCTTTTAATGCCACTAGGACCAGCTTCAGAGTCACTGGACTTCTTTCGCACAACATATCTGTCCATAGTGGCCTGTACCTCTCGTTCCTTTATGACTTCCCTAAAGTGTTTCACAACATTGTCAGTGTAATAATCACCAGCACGGCTTGCAATAGCTGTGTGAGGGTGATACTCATCCATAAAGGTTTGCACTTTCAGCCACATTGCACAGATTTCCTTAATCTTTGTAGTAGGCAACTTCTTCAATTTCTCTCTCCCCTCCTCTGAACCAGTTTTCTCAGGTCTGGCCTCTTGCTCTTGAAGTTGATCTATCAGCTCATCAGTGGTTAGTTCTTCATTGTCCTCCTCCACCAACTCTTCCACATCCTCCCCACTAACCTCCAACCCCAAGGACTTTCCCAATGCCACAATGGATTCCTCAACTGGCATAATCCTCTCAGGGTTAGTCTCAAACCCTTCAAAATCCCTTTTTTCTACACATTCTGGCCACAGTTTCTTCCAAGCAGAGTTCAAGGTCTTCTTAGTCACTCCCTCCCAAGCCTTACCTATAAGGTTTACACAATTGAGGATATTAAAGTGCTCTCTCCAAAACTCTCTTAGAGTCAATTGAGTTTCTGAGGTCACTACAAAGCACCTTTCAAACAGAGCTTTTGTGTACAGTTTTTTGAAGTTTGCAATAACCTGCTGGTCCATGGGCTGCAGGAGAGGAGTGGTATTAGGAGGCAAAAACTTGATGTTAATGAATTTCATGTCCCCATAAAGTCGCTCTGCCACGTCTGTAGGATGACCAGGGGCATTGTCTAACACCAGGAGGCACTTAAGTTCTAATTTCTTTTCAGTTAGGTAATCTTTCACATTGGGGGCAAAATGCATGGTGTAACCAGTCATAGAAAAAGTCCCTAGTGACCCATGCCTTACTGTTTGCCCTCCACAGCACACACAAATTCTCCTTGAGGACATTCTTTTGCCTGAACGCTCTGGGAGTTTCAGAGTGATACACTAATACAGGCTTAACTTTGCAATCACCAGTAGCATTGGAACACATCAACAAAGTAAGCCTGTCTTTCATAGGCTTATGTCCTGGGAGTGCCTTTTCCTCCTGAGTAATGTAGGTCCTGCTTGGCATTTTCTTCCAAAACAGGCCTGTTTCATCACAATTAAACACTTGTTCAGCTTTCAGTCCTTCAGTCTCTATGTACTTCTTGAATTCCTGCACATATTTTTCAGCCGCTTTGTGGTCCGAACTGGCAGCCTCACCATGCCTTATCACACTATGTATGCCACTACGCTTCTTAAATCTCTCAAACCAACCTTTGCTGGCCTTAAATTCACTCACATCAGCACTAGTTGCAGGCATTTTTTTAATTAAATCCTCATGCAACTTCCTAGCCTTTTCGCTTATGATCGCTTGAGAGACGCTATCTCCTGCTAGCTGTTTTTCATTTATCCACACCAATAAGAGTCTCTCAAGATCTTCCATCACTTGCGATCTTTGTTTCGAAAACACAGTTAAACCTTTGGCAAGAACAGCTTCCTTGATTGCCTTTCTGGTGCCCACAATAGTAGCGATGGTTGATTGGGGTTTCTTGTACAACCTGACCAGGTCGGCGATACGCACTCCACTTTCATACTTATCAATGATCTCTTTCTTCATTTCTATTGGAATTCTCACCCTTATTGGTGTAGGGTTGGCACTAGAAGCTTTCTTGGGGCCCATGGTCACTTATTTTCCAGAAACAGCACCGAAAACACTGTAATAATACGAAATATTCCGATTGTATGCTTGGATGTTACCGCGGAGGCTGGCTGGTAAACAATGGCACGGGCGGCACATGTGAGGCTGGCTGAGGGCGCACATTGGACGCGTCTCGGACGAAAATCGGTGAGCGGGTTTTTAAGCGGTATGCGAGGCAAAATTTTTGCGATTAAAGCAAGCGGTATGCGGATTAATTATTATGTGGTGCCATCGGTATGCGGGTGTCCACTGTATATATTTCTGGCTTTGAAAACCACTTTTCAGATTGGCTGAGGCGAGGTTGCACAGAGTTCTTTTCCCTCTGTTCATTTACTTATTGACTCCGTCCATAAGTTTCGGAAGGGGGTATTGTGAGGGAAAAGTAGGCATGAGTGGGGTTAGGGTTGTTCAGGCAACCAGGAACCATTAGCGAGTTACGTCGCACACCCCTCCCTCTGGCAGGCTGGGGCGAAACTAGTTCTTGGTGTCTGATTTGTTTAAATTTCTACTCCTGGTAGTATTGACCTTACCTGGTGTGGGTTGAAGTTTGGAGAGTCACTTCACCTCCACTCTTCTCCTAATCAGGTAGGGTAATCTACCAGGAGTATTACTGTTTATTCCTTTCTTTTGTTTGCTGGTTACCAGTAATGATTTTGGCATTTATCACTCTTTTCCATTCTTAAATGTTATATTATCATGACCATTGGTAACCAGTTTATTTCTTCTTATTACCAGCTCTGTTCCTGGTGTGGTCATCCAGGATAGACGCCAGGTAAAGGAGCAAGACATTTGTTAATGGGACCTATTAACAATTATTAGACTACTACCGGCCCTTATTTATTCTACTTGTGGTGCTCCAACCAAGTGGTAGGAGATTCCAAAACATCGGACTATCACCTTCCGCCCAGGATAACCTACATCATCATTAATATCAGAAGATCTGTCCAGGGCCTTACCTACTCCTGCCCAGCTACAAGAACCGAAGGCCATTTTTTGTTATATTTAAATTTTAAGTAAAATCCTCAAAAGTCATTATTCTTATTTTTCCTAGTCGTTTCTTTATTTATTTATTTTTCCATTAGTTTTTTTGTTAAGATGGAAGGCGTTCCACTGACAATCATCACGTTTACTCACATCTTCAAGCAGAATATAGCACTTTGTCTGGATTCTTTGGGTTATCCTAGGTAATTTACACTATGTATACTTGTATTTATGTGTACCTGTGAGACAGAGATAGACACACAGAAAGAGAGAGACAGATTGAAAGAGATAGAATGAGGGAGAAAGATAATAGATAGAATGGAGGGGAAGCAGCATCCGACCCCATTGTTTTGACTGGCGGTAGGGGGAGTGAGAAATGAGATAATATGTCATTTTGACAGCTGCGACTCCTGACTTAAAACAATTATAAGCCACACACTTGCACACAAGACAAGCTTGCTGAATGAAGATAATAGCAGTTATATGAAAGTATCTAGTGACTATATGTGTATATATATATTATAGAAACCGTGGTGCAACAGTAGCTGACTGGTCCAGCAACAGCTGATCATGGTGCAGCAACAGCTGACTGGTGCAGCAACAGCTGACTGGTCCAGCAACAGCTGACCATGGTGCAGCAACAGCTGACTGGTGCAGCAACAGCTGACTGGTCTAGCAACAGCTGACCATGGTGCAGCAACAGCTGACTGGTCCAGCAACAGCTGACCATGGTGCAGCAACAGCTGACTGGTCCAGCAACAGCTGACCATGGTGCAGCAACAGCTGACTGGTCCAGCAACAGCTGACCATGGTGCAGCAACAGCTGACTGGTCCAGCAACAGCTGACCGTGGTGCAGCAACAGCTGACCGTGGTGCAGCAACAGCTGACTGGTCCAGCAACAGCTGACCGTGGTGCAGCTACAGCTGACCGTAGTGCAGCAACAGCTGACCATGGTGCAGCAACAGCTGACCATGGTGCAGCAACAGCTGACTGGTCCAGCAACAGCTGACCATGGTGCAGCAACAGCTGACTGGTCCAGCAACAGCTGACCGTGGTGCAGCAACAGCTGACCATAGTGCAGCAACAGCTGACTGGTCCAGCAACAGCTGACCATGGTGCAGCAACAGCTGACTGGTCCAGCAACAGCTGACCATGGTGCAGCAACAGCTGACTTATCCAGCAACAGCTGACCGTGGTGCAGCAACAGCTGACTGATCCAGCAACAGCTGACTGGTCCAGCAACAGCTGACCATGGTGCAGCAGCAGCTGACTGTGGTACAATAGTATTTCTCACCCTTTTTACCACAGGGTTGGCACTAGAAGCTTTCTTGGGGCCCATGGTGACTTATTTTGCAGGTACAATCACTTAAAACGCTGTGATAATATGAAATTTGTATGCTTGGATGCGCCCGCGGTGGCTGGCTGCTTGTAAACACTGGCACCCATGGGACAAGTGAGGTGTGCTCAGGCTGCAAGTGGACACGTCTCGAATGGAACGAATGATGTGTTGGTCGAGTTTTTTAGCGCTAGTCGAGGCCAACTTTTTGCGTTAAAATGTATCGCTAGTCGGATTTAACGTTATACGATGCCATCATTGGTCGAGGGTCCACTGTATATCAATTGTTTCTATTTTGTTTTGCAGGTCATCCTGGCTCCAGATGTTGGCACTAATGTTATAGTGCCAGAATTGTAAGTCATTCTGACGCCATAGGAAATGCACTTGTAGTACCAGTACTGCAGGTCATCCTGGCATTAGAGGAATTATAGAGCCAATACTGCAGATCATCCTGGTACCACATGCTGACACTTCTCTTGTACCAGTACTGCAGATCATCCTGGCTACTGCAGATCATTCTGGCATCAGAGGCTGGCACTTCTCTTGTACCAGTACTGTAGGTCATTTTGGCACCAGGGGCTGGCACTGCTCTTATACCAGTACTGCAGACCATTCTGGCACTGGAGGAATTAAACATTTGGAAATTTGTGTCAACATCAGTTTCATGTTTGTGTAAGTGGTATAAATACTGAAATATGTATAGTGACAATTCTTAAGATTTTATATAGCTCATTAGTGTAACACTTTTCATAGGAAATAACAAAATGAAGTGAAATTTAGATTATAACATAGAAATATAGTGGTGATAGTTGCTAAGTATGAAAGCTGATTTGATGTGGATGAACAAGTTTCTGTTAAAATATTGGATTGTAAAATAATCTATTCAAAATCTACATTGATTTAAGAAGCTGTTTCTAACAATATTTGTGAAGCAATTGACCAATAAGGTTCTTTTCATATCTTATGGCAAGGAGTTCTAAGTTTTTGTTTTGACCTGTATAGGTCAAAACAAAAGTGTGGTACATACATCAAAGAGATACTTGTTCATGGTATTTTGTCACTGTTATTGCAGCTCCGAGAAAATTCAGAGGTTGTGATTGATTTTTGGGATAAGTGTCCTGGTGAAAGATACTATATATGTGACTCTTGTATAGTAGTAATGAATGCATAACTGGTATTATGGTGAAGGTACTGTTTATGTGACCAGTAGTAGTAATAAATGTATAAATGGTTTTATGGTGAAGGAACTGTATAACTATTATTCAGTAGTAACTGATATATAACTGGTATTATGGTGAAGGGACTATTAATGTGACTATTATTCAGTAGTAATAAGAATAACTGAACTATATCTGGTAATTAGTTTTTCATCTGTGTTATTCTACCTCACTTATTTCATCTTCGTGCTCTGTCTCATTTTCAAGTACCTATGTTGATTTTGTGCTTCCAGATATAATACAGCAATCCTTGATTTGATAGACTTTGGAAATACAGGACAAAATCCCCTGGGTCATTGGATTTGGAAACAATAAAATCTGTTGGTTATTGCATTGTCTGCTATTGTTACAATCACAGCAAAGCTATCTCATCTATCCACCACAGTTGCTATTACTGGCCCATCCCTCTATTATAATTTGTATTAATTTTTTCTTCATAATATTCCTGTCTGTTACAGTAATTGTTCCATACTCTGACACACGGTAGAGCTCCAAAATAAATATACGATATATCATGTCATTAATTAGAAAAATGTTAATACAGTAACCAAAAAAAGATGTATTAATGTTGATAAGAACTTTATTTCCTGCATTCATTGCTCATTGTCAAATTTAGTCTTAATTGACCTGTATATGCATGATATGAAAACATTCTTTGTGCATATTTTAGACAGTTTGCATAATGGAACATTTTAACAATGACTTGAGCATATTAGAAGCACTAAGTCTGTGGCAGAGGGAAAAAACCAGTTCATTGTTATGCCAGCTGAAGATTATTATTATAAACCATCTTGTGTAACATGTATGAGAGTTTATATAATATACATTGTTTTAAAAGTGTTTTGAAAATATTTGAAAATTGTTTGGAAAATGTTAGCAACAAATTTTTAAATTCATTTAGTTGTATAAAAGAAATTTTAAAGGTTTGCTTTTGAAGATATCTTGATCTGAGGAACTGGATCACCCTTCCTGTTTCTCAAGAACTGTGTACCCCTTATAGGTTTGGCTCTTGCCCACATTTTAATAGTCAAACAGTATTAGAAAATTTTTGGTTTCTGACTATGCTGAAATGTTCACTAAAATCTCATCTGATCATTTATTTTATATTTCATATGGAAGATTATTAGGCCAGTCTTAATTATGTCTAAAATACTCAGAGAAGAATGTGTTCAAGAAACAGAAATTATTGTCCACCCAGAAGACAAACTATATCAGTATTCACAATTTATAAGAGACATTTCACAAAATTCTCAGCATATATCTCTCATGAAAGATCATGTAAGCAAAAAAACACTTCAGTGCTCAGTGTGTCTAAATGAATTTTCCCAAAAATCTCTTTTGAAATCACACATGAGAAATCATACAAGAGAAAAACCTTATCAATGTTTACAGTGTTTAAAAGTTTTTTCTCAAAAATATAATTTAACAAGTCACATGAGAATTCATTCTGGAGAGAAACCATATCAGTGTTTAGTGTGTCTGAAAAATTTTTCTCTAAAAACCACTTTAAACACTCATACAAGAATTCATACTGGAGAGAAACCATATCAGTGCTCAGTTTGTCTAAAAGTTTTTTCTAGAAACCATCATTTAATAAATCACACAAAAATTCATACTGGGGAGAAACCATTTCAGTGCTCAGTATGTCAAAAAACCTTTTCTCAAATATGCAATTTAACAAGTCATATGAGAACTCATACTGGGGAGAAACCTCATCAGTGTTCTGAGTGCCTAAAAGACTTTTCCCTAAAATCTAGTTTAGTAAGACACTTGAGAACTCATACCGGAGAGAAACCATATCAGTGTTCAGTGTGTTTAAAATGGTTTTCAGATAACTCTAGTTTAGTAATACACATGAGAATTCATACTAAAGAGAAGCCATATCAGTGTACAGTTTGTCTAAAAGACTTTTCTGAAAAAGGTCCTTTAACATGTCACATGAGAATTCATACCGAAGAGAAACCATATCATTGTTCCGAATGTCTAAGAAACTTTTCCCAAAAATCTAGTTTAGTAAGACATATGAGAACTCATACTGGAGAGAAACCATATCAATGTTCAGAGTGTCTAAAAAAGCTTTCAGATAAATTTAGCTTAGTGAAACACATGAGAATTCATACTGGAGAGAAACCGTATCAATGTTCTGAGTGTCTAAAACATTTTTCTACAAAGCATTATTTATTAAATCACATGAAAATTCACACTGGAGAGAAACCATATCAGTGTTCAGTGTGTCCAAGTTTTTTTTTAGATAAATTTAGTTTAGGGAAACACATGAGAATTCATACTGGAGAGAAACCATATCAGTGTTCAGAGTGCCTGAAAGAGTTTTCAGACAGATCTAATTTATTAAAACACACAAAAATACATTCCTTGGAGAAACCATATCAATGTTCAGAGTGTCTAAAAGGCTTTTCCGAAAAATCTAGTGTAGTAAGGCACATGAGAATTCATTCTGGAGAGAAACCATATCATTGTTCAGAGTGCCTAAAAGAATTTTCTGATAAATCTAGTTTAGTAAAGCATGTGAGTATTCATTCTGGAAAGAAACCATATCAGTGTTCAGAGTGTCAAAAAGAATTTTCTCAAAAACAACATTTAGTAAGACATATGAGAATTCACACCGGAAAGAAACCATATCAGTGTTCAGAGTGTCTAAAAAAATTTACAGATAAAACTAATTTAATAAAACACATAAAAATCCATTCAAGATAGAAATCTCACAAAAACAAACAATTGACTTAAAACACATGAGAAGTCATATGGAAGAGAAAAATGTACTGCAATAGGTGTTTTCCAGCTATTACAGTACATGTTCTTGTAAGATGCATAGAAAATGTATCATTTACACAGATATAAATTGGTGAATACTAGGTATTGAAGATGAAAACAGAATCTGGTAATTATCTTCCTACATAAACTACCATCAGGGACTAAAGAGGAATTAACTGAACAAATTAGGAAGATAGCTGTTTTGAAAGCCTTGAAAAATCCCATACCAATATGCTTCTAACTGATTTCATCCTTCCAAATGTAAAATAGATTATTAATAGCAGTATGGTGTCAGAATTAGTTCCTAAGCCTGGTATGTATATATTGGGAACTTTTAAGGTTCTATTAAAAGCTTTCTTTGTACCAAAAGATAAAAGAACTTTCAAGAAATTAAAATATGCAGGATTATGTCTTCAAGAACAATGATAAACTAATCAAAGATATAGAAATCTCAAATACAATACATTCCAGTCACCACCTCAGGTGAAGTACAGGCATGCATAAGTCCATGTGCAGAAACTGTAAGAAATAGCTAACAAGATAAATTAACTTAATGATTCAGAGAATTGACTGGGGTAAAATAAAGTAAGAGCCATCTGACATTTCCTGGGAAATAGTCCTGAGCAGCCTTAATCCAGATTGGTGCAGGGAATTTACAGAAGATAACAAAAAGGGTTCCTGAACTATTTAAAAATGAAAATATGTCACAACAAAGACAAGATTACAGTGAGAGTTTACAAGCATAAAGTAGAATTTATAGCATTTATACAAGGTGGAAGGGGTTCAAAAAGGAGCAAAAAATGTCACTCAATAAAAAATTCCTAAATATTTCTTCACATATTCAAAATCCATGTCATAAAATACCTTTAGAACTGACCCACTTCTTGTAGGAAGTTTATACTCAGATAACGATAGAGAAATTGACAAAATCCAGGATGAAAAGTTTGAGTCAATGTTCAGTAAACAACTGAACATCAGGAGAGTTGCTTCAGATAACTACTTCACTACCTCTGCTTATCTGTCAAATAATATATCTGATAATAATTAGAACTGAGTAAGTACTGCAAACTCTGATCATACAATAGAGGGGAAAAGTAATGTAAAGGACCTGAGAATGGTAATATCTGAGGATCTCACTTTTAAGGATCATAACAGTACTACTATCACATCTGCGAGGAAAATGATAGGATGGATAATGAGAACATTCAAAACAAGATGCCAAGCCGGTGATGACCCTTTTAAAATCACTTGTTCTCTCTAGGCTGGAATACTGCTGTACATTAACATCTCCATTCAAGGCAGGTGAAATTGCAGATCTACAAAGAACCTTTACTGCATGTATAAGTTCCATCAAACACCTTATCTACTGGGAACACTTGGAAGCACTTTACTTGTACTCACTGGAACACAGGCGAGAGAGATGTATCATAATCTACACTTGGAAAATTCTAGAAGGAATGGTCCCTAATCTGCACATGGAAATCACTTCCTATGAAAGCAAAAGACTGGGTAGGCAGTGCAAAATACCCTCAGTGAAAAGAAGGGGTGCCATTGGTGCACTGAGAGAAAACTCAATAAGTGTCCAAGGCCCAAGATTTGTTCAACATCCTCCCACCAGGCATAAGAGGAATTACCAATAGACCCTTGGCTGCCTTCAAGAGAGAGCTGGACAGATACTTGAAGTTGGTGCCGGATCAGCCGGGCTGTAGTTTGTATGTTGGATTCTGTGTGGCCAGCAGTAACAGCCTGATTGAACAGGCCCTGATCCATGGGAGTCCTGGTCATGGACCAGGCTGCAGGGATGTTGATCCTGGAATACCTTCCAGGTAGACTTAAACACAAATTCTTCAGATTTTTTGAGAAAAAGAGGACTTGTCTGCACATACGGTGCCTGGACAGGATTCCTGGAACCCTTTATGTATAATGAAGTGCAAAAATATGCTAGTGATGGTACTGTTCAAATCACTTATGTTCTCATGTCTAGAATAATGTACTGTGCTAACAGCTCCATTCAAGGGAAGAGTAGTATTAGAGCTAGAAAATGTTCAGTGATTGTTTTCTTTTCACATAGTGCCAATAGATCATTTAAAGTACATGTATTAGGATTGAAGTCCTTGTAATGTACTCTCTTGAGTGGAGAAGAGAGAGAGATGTGCTGCCATTGCTGGAAGTGTAAAACATATTTGGTGAAAAGCAGGGCCTCCATTAATAACAACAGTGGGGTCAATATCCTTGACTCCAAGCTCTTCAGCCTGCTACCAGCAAATATTAGAAATATTACTGGAACATATTTGGAAGTCTTCATGAGGAAACCCCAAAAAATTGTCAAGATAAATTGCAGGTATGTAATGATACATCTGAGTATTTACACAAGAAAACACATCTTTTCTTAGTGTCAGTAAGTGTTTATGAAGTATATAGTGTGAAGTTATATGATAGTTATGTAGAACTGCTGAAAATAGAAACTAAAAACACTGGGAATAGGAATTCTTTTATTAAGATATATTACTCTGTGCTAGGCACTATTAACCCCTTAACTGTCCAAACGTAGATCTATGTTCTCTCACCCAGTGCTCCGAATATTTTGAAAAATAAAAACTTTTTTAACCTGTAAACGGTCCAAACGTATACAGTGGTCCCTCAATTATCGTCCTTAATCCGTTCCTGGAAGTGGGACTATTATCGAAATAGACGATTTTCGAATCGATTTTCCCCTAAGAAATAATGTAAATCCAATTAATTCATTCCAGACACCCAGAAGTATCAACAACAATTTTTTTTTTACCTAAAAGATAGATTTACATGCACAAAAGAATGAACATTCAACATGACAGTCACCTTTATTGAAGGCTGTTGTTGATGAATGGAAGACAGGGAGGAGGAGAGAGGGAAGAGAGGTTATTTGGAAGGGGAATCCCCCTCCACAAGGACTCTAGGGCACTAATAAAATGTATAAATGAACATTGGTAATAGGGGTAGTTGATGAGTGGAACGGTCTGTCTAGTAGGGTGATTGAAGCTAAAACATTGGGTAGTTTCAAATTTAGGTTGGATAAATACATGAGTGAGAGGGGTTGGATTTGAGTCGGACTTGTACCTGAGCTTATTGCTTGAGTAGCATTTGTTCTGTTAGTGGGTTGGATTTGTGAAGGACCTGCCTAGTATGGGCCAACAGGCTTATTGCAGTGTTCCTCATTTCTTATGTTCTAAAAGCTATGGCTTGGGTAGTTTCAAATTTAGGTTGGGTAAATACACGAGTGAGAGGGGTTGGATTTGAGTCGGACTTGCATCTGAGCTTATTGCTTGAGTAGCATTTGTTCTGTTAGTGGGTTGGATTTGTGAAGGACCTGCCTAGTATGAGCCAGCAGGCCTGTTGCAGTGTTCTTACTTTCTTAAGTTCAAGTTCTTGAGTTCAAAGGTAAACAATTCATGCCATGCATCCAAAACACGTCAACTGGTGAGTCTAATATTCTTTCACAAGTGTGCTGATATCATTTATACCATTTCTACACTAATGCAGTAGTCTGCATAACATAAATCTTCTATTTTTTGTGAGAAAAATTCAAAGTGGAAAGCAAAAGAAATGTAACAGAGACCTGGGGACATGAGTAATGAACAAAGAAAATGTTATTTTGGTGCCAGGAATGTCTGTCTTGTTTATTCTGGACCCTATTTGGAAATTGGCATCTTTTGAAATTTGTGTGAAATTGGCAAAATTGCCAATTTCTGACCACTATTGGATAGTTGAAATAGGTAAATGGGTGGTTTCTTGTACTCATTCGTTAGAAAAAATGGAGTTCTAGCAAAATAGGTATGATTTTTGTCGACTGGTACATTGGAATTGGCTGAAAATAGGGCTCAAAGTGGGCGAAATCCCCGATGTGTAAACATCGTCGAGACCACTAACTTCGCGAGAGCATAATTCCATAAGCTTTCCATCAAATTTCATATTTTTTGTGTCATTATGATTGGGAAAAGATTCTCTGTCAAATCATAAGAAAAAATAACTTTTTTTTTTTTTTTGAAAAATTTCCAACCCTGAGAACAAGTTTAGGAGAGGGCCTGCCGACCCTGAAAGGGTTAAATGAGCGAGAAATTCATTGCCTCAAAGAGGCAGAAGGTTTCCCCTATGCTATCTTTGCCTCCAAGGAAGACTACCCCATATTTCTTATTCTCGTGTTTCTAAACGTCCCCCCACCTTTGGAGTCACATCTTCTGCAGCCTCCTCTGGGATTACCCCTTCCATAGTCACTCCTGTGTCTAATTCTTTTGCTGTCCTGGACTCAGAAGCCCCTACCTCAACACCTCAGTCTGTTCTCACTTCATGCTCTTCCTCATAAGTTCCGGTATCGACAAGACATCATACAACACCACCTCCCAATCGCCCCTCTACTTCTCAGAAGTCCCAAAAATCCCCATTGCTCAAATCTCCTTTAACTCTTCCTTCCCTTTTTCTACCTCCACATTTTACCTTTCCAGTCTCTGTACCTGGTTCTTCACCTCTCGCTGGCTCTGTTACAAGTGTGGAGGTTCACCCTCCTCCTCATACTGTACCTTCTTTCCCTGCCCCCTCCCAGGTTTCTTCCTCTTCTGTCTCCTTCCACACTTCTTCTCCAGTTCCCTCTACCCTTTTGTCCTCCCCTACTTTGGTACAGTCCATTGCTGTCCCAATCATTACTCACCCTCCTCCTCCTATCTCCAATATTGTCTCCCATACAATGTCTTTGTCTTCCAAAACACTTGAAGCTATCTCAGAATATACTGAAGAGACTAAACCATCAATGGACACTGATCCACCTCCTGTTCCTCCTCTTCCCTCTCCTCCATCTCTGCAACTCTTATCTTCGCAGCGCTCCATTCCTTCGCTCCTTAAACGTTTTCTTCTACCGCCACATGGACTTTTCTAACCCCTCTAGTCCGTAGGTACCGTTACCTGCAGATTTCTTGCATTTTTCTCATTACCAGTCATGGCCTATTTACAGTGGAATATCCATGGCCTCAGAGATAATCGGGGTGAGCTTCAGATGTTGCTCTCCCGGTTTTTCCCTGTTGGTGTTTGCTTACAAGAACCAAAATTATACTCTGCTGTTATCCATCCCCTCTCAGGCTATAATTTATTGTATTCTTCAGATCTTTTTTCTGATGGAACCTTTAATGACAGTACCCTTCTTATATGCACTGATATTCCGTACTGTCAGCTATTTGTTCATACTTTGCTGCATTACACTGCAGCCTGTATCCACGTGCATAAGTGGTATACAATCTGTTCTTTGTATCTCTCTCCTTCTCAGGCATTATCTATCCTGGATATTGCCTTTCTTGTTTCGTCCGTACCACCACCACTTCTGTTACTTGGCGATTTTAATGCCCACCACTCCCTCTGGGGATCTCACTGTGACTCCCGTGGCATTCAGTTGGAGGCTTTTCTTGTTTCTCACCCCCTCCATGTTTTAAATATGGGTTCTCCCACCCATTTTGATCATCACATTCATACTATCTCTTGCATCAATCTCTCGGTCTGCTCTTCTTCCACTGCACCAGACTTCACCTGGTCTGTCCTCCCAGACTTACACGACAGCAATCATTTTCCAATCATTCTTACTTCTTCATATTCAACACCTCTTCATAGCCCACACTGCAAATTGGGACCTTTACTCGCAACTAACTGCTTTTAGTGAGGTTCCTTCTTCGTCCTCCATTGATGAACGTTTACACCTCTTCTCGACCTCAGTTTTAACCATAGCTTCTCATTCTATACCCCAAACCTTGGGCAGGCATTCTCAAAAGTGCATGCCTTGGTGGTCTCCTGCTTGTGCTCGGGCAGTACGTTTGAAATGTCCTACATGGGGCAGGTACTGGTACAATAAAACCACAGAGAGACTTGATTTTAAGCAGAAGTGAGCTGTCACTCGCTGTGTCATCCATGACACTAAATGCACTTGCTGGTGAGATTATGTTTCCACCATCACCTCTGCTTCCTCTATGAGTGCAGTCTGGAAAAAAGTACAGAAACTGAGTGGTAAATACTCTCCTGACTCGGCTCCTGTTCTGCAGGTTGCCGGTGTTGATATAGCAAACCTTCTTGATGTTGCCATTGAAATTGGTAATCATCTGATCCGTATTTCTCAGGGGCTCCATCTATTCCCCTCTTTTCTTTCCTCAAAGTCTGCCAGAGAGTTAGCACCCTTAGACTTTTCTTCTCTCAAAGAAGAATCTTATAATGTGCCTTTCACACTTCAGGAACTGGAGGCTACACTCTCAGCTTGCCGATCATCGGCAGCTGGGCCTGACGGCATTCATATTTGGATGTTACAACATTTACATCAGTCAGCCCTTGCAGTCCTCTTACAACTCTTCAATCTTACTTGGTCACAAGGAGTTCTTCCCCAGCTTTGGAAGTCTGACATTGTTCTCCCTTTCCTCAACCCAGGTACTACGAGATATGATGCCTCCCACTATCGTCCCATTGCTCTTACCAGTGCAGTTTGCAAAGTGATGGAACATCTGATAAATCAACGTTTAACCCTTAAACTGTCCAAACGTAGATCTACGTTTGCACGTGTAGTGCTCCAAATGTAGATCAATATTTTATTTTTCATTCCTTCAAATTTGGCACAATAGGCTTGAGTCACCTAGACATGAAAGAATGGGTCTGTGCACTCAGTGTGTGCACTATTAAAATAATCTGGGAGGACTTGGTATCTTGTGGGAGCACCAGTTCAACTGAGCACCAGCTAGAGCAAATAGCATGGCAAACACCAGGGATTCACTGATGCCATGTTGGATTAACACTCCCATTTTAAGAGGAAAGTAAAAATAGGTTAGATAAATACATGAGTGTGGGTGGGTGTGAGTTGGACCTGACTAGCTTGTGCTACTAGGTCTGTTGTCATGCTCCTTCCTTCAATGGATGTGACCTGACTAGGTGGGTCATTTGTCTATGGCAGGGGGGGGGGAGTGTAACATGTACCTGCCTTGCATGTGCCAGTAGGCCTACTACAGTGTTCCTTCTTTCTTATGTTCTTATGTATTCGGCAGGCTGACCAGCAGGCTTGCTTTGGCCGTCTCTGGCTGTCTCTCTGTCTATATCTCTATCTTTCTATATCTCTGTCTATATCTCTATCTATATATCTGTCAGTCTATATATCTATCTATCTATATCTCTGTCTATCTTTATCTGTCTCACATGTACACATAAGTACAGTTATTATACATAGTGTAAATTACCTAGGATAATCCAAAAATTCCAGGCAAAGATAGACAGATAGATAGATAGACAGACACACAGACAGACAGACAGACAGAAACATGTTTGTGTGTATCAGTGAAAACAAATAAAGCCAGGGTTCCCCGGAACACCCATTCATCAAATGTCACCGAGCTGATAACATATGTCATAACATGATTCTTCAAGGAGTTTGATATCCTATACTCCAAGCAGACAGAAAGACAGATAAGCAGAGACAGACAGAGACAGATAGATAAACAAACCATACCACGGACGGGGATACAACCCACGATCAGAGAGTCTCAAAACTCCAGACCGTCATGTTAGCCACTGGGCCAGCTAGCTACAATAAGATTCATCCACTAGGTATTTCTACACCATAGGAAGGTGAAGGAGAAGGAGATTCATCTGTAAAAGGCTTGCATTTGTGGTCACAGTGGTTCCTATGCTAACTTTCCTATGGTGTAGAAATATACCTAGTTGGATGAATCTTATTTTGGCTAGCTGGCCCAGTGGCTAACGCGACGGTCTGGAGTTTTGAGACTCTCTGATCGCGGGTTCTATCCCAGTCCGTGGCATAGTTTGTTTGCAATTTTGTCATTACAATTTTGTGAGTCAGATAGACAGTAGATAGATAGACAGGCAGACAGATAAATAGACAGAGAGACAAGACATGTTTGTGTGTAACAGTGATAACAAATACAGCGAGGGTTAGCTGGAGCAGTGGGCACTTATCAAATATCACTAAGCTGTCAACAGTATAGGGATGCCTTTCATAACATGCTTCAAGGTATATGTCAGAGTATCTAAAGCATTGCTGGGACCTTTAAATACTTTGTATATATTTCTAGACAATAGTAACCCAAGCAGGTGTAAATGTTCACCTGTCAATGTGATTCTGACTATTTGAGCACTATTTCAGTACCTAATATTAGTGTCAGAACAAAGACTGGCTATGAAATTACAAGAACTATTATAAATTGTAATTATCAGAACATAAAAATATATAAATTAAAATAAAAACAAGAAAAGGGGTATATTGGCAACACTTCTGCAAAAAGCAGGAGTCGATGTTGCCGACAAGTGAGCATCCAATGCCAACTTCACGGTCTTATATCTCGGTAAGTACTGACCCTAAATTTTTTTTTTATTCTATAACTAGAAAAATGTGCTCTTCATTTTAAAAGAAAAAGATTTTTTTTATTTTTCAAAATATTCGGAGCACCACACGAGTGAACGTAGATCTACGTTTGGACAGTTTAAGGGTTAATGTGGTATTTAGAGACACACAACAGTCTCTCCACTAGTCAATATGGCTTTTGTAAGGGCCGTTCTACCATTGATCCCATACTACACTTGGATACGTATGTTTGTAATGCTTTTGCAAATAGCCACTCAGTTATTGCCATATTTTTTGATCCTGAGAAGGCATATGACACAACTTGGAGGTATAATATTTTGGCCCAAGCCCACTCCTTAGGCTTCCAAGACAATCTACCATCCTTCCTTAAGAACTTCTTAGCTGACAGACATTTCTGTGTTCGGGTTAATAATATGCTCTCCCTGGACTTTGTCCAAGCTGAAGGTGTCCCTCAAGGATGTGTTCTAAGCACACTTTTTCTCCTCACTATAAATGATTTGGCCTCTCTTCTTCCATCCAATATTTGATCATCATTGTATGATGATGACTTTGCTATTGTCTCATCTTCAAGGGGGGCTCCTTGGTGTGGTGAAGAGGCTCTTGGTCTGAGGAATTAGACCTGTTGGTCTCCTTCCTCAGACCGAACCTAATTACCCCCAATCCCCCCTTCCCTATCCCTTTCTCCCCATCCTCCCCTTTTTCCTTTCCCCCTCCCCACCCCTCCCTTTTACCCTTCCTCTTTTTGGCCTTTGGGATTTTTCCCACAGGCCCGCTAGTTCCTAGGTAGGGGAAAGGGTACTGTGGTCCATCCCATTCTGTTGAGGTTCTTGGTGGTGGTGTAGTTTGCAGTGGAATCTGGATCACCTGGGGATGTCCCGATCCCTCTCCGGTATCCCGGAGGGTGGCTTTGGGTGTCTTTCGGGTGACGGGTGTGTCTCTGGAAGCCACCTTTTGGATTCCGGGGGTGGTGGCTGAAGGAGGTATGCTTTGCGGCAGATGTCCGGCTGCCCTCTCTTTTGTCCACCAAGGTAGCTCGGCTGATGTGAGGTTGCTATCCCGGATTGCTGGTTTACTGGCATGAAGGGTAGGGTATGGCACGGGTTCCATGCTGCATCTACACTACTTGTGGTGCTGAGGTCCTCTTGGGCACGGAGGGAGATTTCTGGCCCTTTCATTCCTCCTAGGAATAATCCCTCCCCAGTCCCCCCTTTTTTCTTTTTTTTCTTTTTATTTTCTTCTTTCTTATTTTTCTTAAAAACACAAAGAAAGAAGTAACCTAACCATGGAGTTCCCAATCCATGACCCCACTATCCCTGGGCCCCTTCTTGTTACCGCACCTGTTCTGTCCTTGCCTCGTCTTTTGACCACTCATCGGACATTCCTAAGGCCCCTGTACCTCTTGCTGGTGCTGTTTCGTCACCCGCTTCAGGTGCCGGGGTTTCGACTGACTCCTTCGATTTGTCTGACCTCCGCTCTCCTTTGACTATGCTTCTGGCCTCTCCCTCTACAGTGCGGCAATTTTCAAATCGCCGGCCCATCCCACGTCGGACCAACTCAGGTCCCACTTCCAAACGCCAGCGACAATCTCCTGATGATGTTCCTTCGTTACCTTCCCATTCTACTCAGAAAAGACCGACACATCATGCACTCCCTCTCCACACACTGTTTTGGACCACACAATGGACTAAATTCTTTACTTTAAGACTGACTTCTTCTACTGCCTATCTTTCGACCATAGTATTGGCAAAGCGCTCCTACGCCATGTTGGTAGAGATATTTCCTTTCATGCTCGTAAGAGTGGTATGCGCATCATCACAGTCCAGAATGCTACCCAAGCTCATGATCTTTCTCTTCTTTCACAAATCGATATTATTCCTATCGATATCGAAAAACATCATTCCCTCAATTCTTGTAGTGGTACTGTCATTCTGCCCCATACCATAGTCCAACAGAATTTCCAGACACGTGGCAATGACATTCTCGAACAGCTGGAACTCCAAGATCTCCCAATTCTCAAGGTAGACACTTTTCTTCTTCCTGCCCACTGGCGGAGACGATACCCTTGCAATGTGGCTCGTTTAACTTTTGACAGCCATGAACTCCCATCCTCTGTTTACGTAGCAGGACATGGGTTACAAGTTCAAAAGGTGATCCCCACACTGCAACTGTGTAGAAATAGCTGGCAATTTGGCCACCCAGCAAAATATTGCAGATCTATAGCGGAATGCCCAGTCTGTGGTGCCGATAACCATTCTAATACGTCTTGCAGTTGACCTCCCTCTTGCCTTAATTGTCATCATGCTCACCCTTCGTACTCTCATCGTTGCTAGGTCTACTTAAATGAGCGGGAAATTCGTTGCCTCAAAGAGGCAGGTCTCCCTTATGCTATGGCAGTTTCTCATCTCCGCCTCCAAGGGAGACTACCCCGTGTTTCTTATTCTCGTGTTTCAAAACGTCCCCCCACTTCTGGGGTCCCATCTTCTGCAGCCTCCTCTGCTGTTGCCCCTCCCATAGTCACTCCTGTATCTAATTCTTTTGCTGTCCTGGGCTCAGACGTCCCTACTTCAACACCTCAGTCTGTTCTCACTTCTTCGTGTTCTCCCTCAAACCCCGGTATCGACAAGACCTCGTTCGACACCTCCTCCCAATTGTCCCTCTACTTCTCAGAAGTCCAAAAAAATCTCCTTTAACCCCTCCTTCCCTTCATCCACCTCCTCATTTTACCTTCCCAGTCTCTGTACCTGGGTCTTCCCCATTCACTGGCTCTGTTACAAGTGTGGAGGTTCACCCTCCTCCTCGTACTTTGTCTTCCTCCCCTGTCCCCTCCCAAGTTTCTTCCTCTTCTGCCACCTCCCAGGTTTCTGCCTCTTCTGTCCCCTCCCACACTTCTCCAGTTCCCTCCACCCTTTCACCCCCCATACCCTACCTTGGTACAGTCCATTACAGTTCCGATCTTTACTCAATCTCCTCCTCCTTCCATCTCCAATATTGTCTCCCATATGACGTCTCTGAACTCCAAAACACTTGAAGCAATCTCTGAATATATTGCAGAGACCAAACCATCAATGGACACTGATCCACCCTCTGTTCCTTCTCTTTCCTCTTCTCCATCTGCGCAACTCCTTTCTTCACAACACACCATTCCTTCGCTGCTTGAACGTTTTCCGCTGCCACCGCATGTGGACTTTTCTAACCTCTCTAGTCCATAGGTACCCTTACCTGCGAATTTCTAGTATCTTTATCGTTGCCAATCATAGCCTATTTACAGTAGAATGTACGCAGCCTCGGGTAATCGGGGTGAGCTTCAGATGTTGCTCTCCCAGTTTTCCCCTGTTGGTGTTTGCTTACAAGAACCAAAATTACACTCTGCTGTTATCTATCCCATCTCAGGCTATACTTTATTGTATTCTTCGGATCCTTTTCCTGATGGGACCTTTAACCCTTTGGGGGTTTCGGCCGTACTAGTACGGCTTACGACACAGGGTTTTTGACGTACTAGTACGCCTAAATTCTAGCGCCCTCAAATCTAGTGGGAGAAAGCTGGTAGGCTTACATATGAAAGAATGGGTCTATGTGGTCAGTGTGCACTGTATAAAAAATATTCTGCCGCACACAGTGCATAATGAGAAAAAAAAAACTTTGACCGTGTTTTTGGAATAAAACAGCGACTTTGCGCTGTATTTTCGTATGGTATTGTTGTATTCTAGTTTTCTTGGTCTCATTTTATAGAATGGAAGACATATTACAGAAATTGAGATGATTTTGACTGGTTTTACAATGAAAAGTACCTTGAAATTGAGATCAAACTAGCAGAAATGTTCGATTTTTACCAAAGTTCAAAAGTAAACAAATCATGCCGAGCGCCCAATACACGTCAACTGGTGAGTCTAATATTCTTTCACAAGTGTGCTGATATTATTTATACCAATTCTACACTAATGCAGTAATCTGCATAACAGTAAATCTTCTATTTTTTGTAAGAATAAAAATTGAAAGTGGAAAGCCAAAGAAATACTTTAAGAGGGGCCTGGGGATGTGACTAACAAACAGAGAGCTTGTTATTTTAGTGCCAGGAATGTCTTTCTTGTTTATTCTGGACCCTATTTGGAAATTGGCGTCTTTTGAAAT